GGAAAGGAAGAGAGGAAAGGCCCTAAAAGCAAGGAATTTGCAGCAATCAGTCTGCACAACTGAACGGAAGAAAACCTTCACAGGATTTAACTCAAGGCTTTTCTGTACACAGTTGAAGTACATGGTTCTGGAGAAACACAACACACTTGACTTGGGATTCAGTGGAGCTCTGGTGATTCAGGTCCAATTAATTTCTAACCATGGTCTAGTTTTGGTGAAATGTTTCACTTCAGTGTTGGTAAAATTGTTGTCTTGCAACCACCCCAAAGGCAGCTGCTGCAGGTAGATGATATCTGTAAGTACTGAAAATCCATGACATGCTGCTAAATTTGTGTACTGTCCATTGCACTCGAGGCAAGGATCAGTCAAAGCATTTTAGAGATGTCTCTGTCACACACCCAATTTTTATCACCACTGATGTATCACTTCATACTGACATTGCCAGATCCATAAACATGACATAGTGCAAATGAGAGCAATGGAAGTAGTTCTGTCTCAGAGTAGACATTTCCTGCTATAAGTACTGGCATTTGTTTACATACTCTTTAAAGAAAAGCTGAGATTATACAACAATTCAAAAACACTCTGAAGACTGGGAGTGCCCGAGTATAATGCAGAATGGCAACCATTTGGCTTTAATGACTGCCACAGGCATCCTACAGGAAGACCCCCTGCAAAACAGTCACATCCAGCAAGGATTCAGCCGCACTTTGAACACCACTGCCACATTTATCATGCCTGCATCTACATGCTGCAGTATGGGGATGCACAGGGCCAGGTGCCCCAGGAGGGCTGCCAGGCAGCCCAGGGCATGACAGGGCCATGACTCAGCTAAAGCACAGAAGCAGAAGTGGCTTAAAAAAAAAAAAAAAAAAAAAAAGCCTGGAAGGGTTTTAGGCTCCCATAAAAACAGGTTTTATTAGGGTATTCACATCAATATTTATCTTCTATAGAGATAAGGTAATTACTTGGAAAGGAAGTGTAAAGGCTTTATAAACAAGTTTGTGTCACTCCCCGCCAGCTCCGTAGCTTTCTGAGTTTACATTAGACTTTGCACCTCCAGACATTCCAAAACATCTCACAGGTTCCATGACAAAGCTGCTCAAAGGAAGCCCCCAACAAGCACAGGGAAGGGCTCAGCACTGTTACAGCTCCTATGCAGGTAGCATGGCCAGTGAACAGCAAAAGCAAACATGCTTCCAAGGCCCATGGTTGCTTCTCCCCGTGCTCACTGCAGAAGAGATTTGCGACAGGCAGTTGTCAGTTTAGCAAAACATACTTATTTCCAAATAAGCACAGAGCGCATGCCTGCCAAATTCACAGCTGAAATGCCAGCTGCAAGGGACTATGGCAGCCATTCTCCAGGAAAACAAGCTCAAATCCAGTTGCTGGTGAGCACCCCATGAAGTGATAGCCATGCGTTTGCTGTTCCTGCAGGTGAGTCCCTGCTTGCATCCTCATGCTGCAGCCTGTGGGTGACTGTGACTGGGTGCTCCAGGAGGACTGCCAGGCTGCCAGGGCTTGGCTCAGATAAAGCAGAGGCAGATTGAGGTTAGCATGCAGGGACACAAGCATCTCTTGTATTAGGAGAGGATGAGAGAACTGAGCCTCTTTAGCCTGGAGAAGAGAGGTTCAGGGGGATCTTATCAATGTATATAAATATATGAAGGTGCAAAGAAGACAGAGCCAGACTTCTCAGTGATGCCCAGTGACAGGAGGAGAGGCAATGGGCACAAACTGAAACACAGGAAGGTCCCTCTGAAGAGTAGGAAATACTCTTCTGTGTGGGTCACTGAACACCAACACAGGTTGCCCACAGAGGTTGTGGTGTCTCCCTCCTTGGTTATATTCAGAAGCCATCTAAACACAATTCTAGGTGGCCCTGCATGAGCAGGGGAGTTGGGCAAAATGACTTCTAGGGGTCCCTTCCAACCACACCCTTCTGTGATTCTGTGGATATGCCTCAATCTTCACCCATATTGAATTCCACAAAGACACCCAGTAGGTTTTTTGACTCACAGAAAAAAATAACAGGTTTTATTAAAATATAAATGGCAACACTTACCTTCCTACTATTCATTATTTCATATTTGTCATTTCATTATTGTTGCAATCAACACATTGCAATGGGGAGTGTGCACTACCTTTTACATTTTTCACAGACACAACTGACTCTCCATGCCTTTCTTCAAAAAAAAAACCCTAAAATCCACATTCTGGACACATTTCCTATGCCCTTCCCAGTAGTGTGTGGCTACTCGTCAGCTCTGCTGGAGACATTTGTGACAGGCTCCTTAGTGTTAGTTCAGGAAAAAAATGCACACTGCTTCCCAAAAGAAAACTAACAGGAACGCTGCCTCATGTTGGGGCTTTCTAAGTACTCTCATTGAACAAAATCATTCCCAGTAACATTAGACTGGCCACAGAAGAGATATGCTTTTTGCATGTCAGTATTTTATTAAAGGCTGACCACAAAGGAGCATGGTTACTCTCTGGAAGAGTAATTCTAAAGGAAGGACAAGGCAAAATCAGACACTAGTAAACATCCAGTGAGGTGATAGGAATACCTTGAAATCCACAGCCACAATTAATAAGGTTACGGACAAGTCGTGTCCTGCATCTGCACACTCTGATTCATGAAACAGCATGGCAGGGTGTACCAGGAAGCTGCCATGCCTTCCAGAGAGTAAAATCACTGTGACTCAGCTAAAAGGTTGAGGTGGGTGGGCCTCAGACATCACACAAAAAAAACCCCCACAACAAACAAAGGCTTTTATACTCCCTCAAAGTCAGGTTTTATGCAGCTATATATATGATGATAGTTATCTTTCTCCATGCAGATAAAGCAATCAGGTAAAACAGATCAGAAAAGCCTGTACACATAATTATGTCCTTCCAGCAGATCCTCCCCACCAATCCATGCTGTGGCTGAGTTACCAAAATCTCTCCCTGAGCCCCAGGAAAAGTGTTATGATCTTAGAAGAAAGGTTTAGAAGGAGGAAAAGTGTTGAAGACTCTGACTAGGCACCTGGTTTAAAAAAAAAAAAAAAAAAAAGGTCAATTATGGTTCATTCTTATACATATCAGACCAAGATTTGATGTAATTAAATGTAAATTGTAGCTCAATCTCAGTATTTTCTAGTCTATTCTTTACCTGATTTTAGTCAGCTCCTATTCCTGTAGCACCCAAGCATCTTTAATAATAGATTAAACAATAGCTATATGTTATAAGCTGGGTGTAAAAGTTTGTCAGTGTAATCAGAGGTCAGCACAGAAGAGTAGTGTGGTCCTTTCTGGGTTTAAAATCAATGTACCTTTATTGATTTTATAAAATCTTTACAGATTAGTTTATTTTTTCTGTAGATCTTGCTCTCTCTCTTCTGTCAAATTACTCATATCTCTTGCAGTAGCTTTGATTTTTTCTTTTGGGTGGGGGGCTGGTTTGGTGTTTTTTTTTCATATTTGTTTTCAGTAGAAGAGACCTCCTCCCACTGCTATAGTTTGAGTGTACTGGAGTTGTCGTGTCAGTCTGAAAATTTTGTTTCCCTGCCTATATTTTGCTTCTCTCTCTCTGATTCGTATCAGTTTGGTATCCCTTTCATTCTTCAAAGTATGGTAACATCCAAGGCAGCAGAAAGATGACAATAAAATTTGGGTAAACCAATAGTTTAGAAACCAGGACAAGGAGAGACAGAAGGTATTTTGTTCAAATATAAACCCAGAACATGAATCTGCCAATCAACTGAAAATACTGTCCTGTAAAAGCAGTTTAAATAATGCAAGTGCACAAAAATTCTAACAGATCACATCAAACATCATGTTTAGAATGCACTAGTGGCGCAGTAATTCACAGTTGCCTCTGTATTTCGACAGGGAAACATTATCAGTCCAAGCATAAAATATTTCATTCTTCTTCACTCACACTGTACAACTTGCAAGAAGACACCAGTGGAACTTACACAACATGTAAATTGGTAATTACACAACATGTAAACTGGTAATCAGGGGTCAACGATGAGCAAGAAAGAGTTTATAGCAATATAAGCAAAAGAAAAAAAAGGGCTCAAGAAGCAGAGAATCCCTACTGTGATAAACACAAAGCCTAGGCTCTGTGACGTGTGAGATGCCAAAGGTAGGGTGTTGAAATTACATCAGTTTCCTAAGTAAAGCACTTTTTCCTCAAAACAGCTGTCAGTTAAGTAGCCCGGCCCTTCCAGGCCCCTGGCTCTTGATTTCTGAGGCAATCCATTTGTACAAAGTCCTCTGCAGCCTTTCAGTGTCAGCCCTCCGATTGTGTTCTGACCCTACAGAAAAAGCAGGGGGTTTATTTGGACTGAAGACTACATGCAGACAAGCTGTGATCACAAGTCCCGTTTGCAGGCTCTGACGCCCCGCTGGTGCCGGCTGACATTTTAACTGAGCACAGGGAACCGACGCCTTCACACGGACTGCTGCAAGGGGCCTGCGGGGAGCGAGACGGGACCCACCCCTCTGCAAAGCCGGGGAGCCCTCAATCTACGCCAAAGACCACGTCCCCTTTTAATTAATTCCTCTGCAAACAGTAGGTAAGCCTGATATTTTCTAGAATAAAAGATGGACATTTCAGTCCATTTGTCACCACTTGAGAGTAACTGAGAAAATCCTTCAACAGCCTGGACGCCCATGGCCTCATGCAGCAGTTCTGCTGGCGCCGTCCGGCTCTCTCGGCGGCAGAAGAGCACGGGCAAAGCGCCCGGTGAGTCACTAGGGCATTCGCTCCTCTGGTCGATGCAAAAATAAACAGAGAAATCCTCTTAGCATCAGGCTTCTGTAGCCAACCAAAACCTCCAAATCCCGGGCATCCTGCCTCTCACGTCTAACGAAACCCCGGCGGAAGAGGGAAGGGGGGG